TTGAACATTAGAACATTATCGGTCTATGATACAAATTGCATTAAAACAGAGTCAACTGCACTGCAGTTCAACGCCCAGCAGAGGGCAGCATTGCCTCCAGTCAGCAGCCGATCATTTACAAGCAACTTCTCCAGTAGTCATAATAAATAAAAGGAATATCGCACTTACGTTGTGAAATATTTTTTCTTTTTTAAATATATGACTTATAATCATAATAAAACAAATTTTGATCTATCAAAGGGCATCTCTTATCAGGGCTCTTTTGGACTTGCCTACCGCTACCTGTTTCTCTCGCGAGAAACATCGGCAACATCGTTAATTAGCTTGTATTGCCCAGGTGTGTAAAGCGAGTTTGGGAGAGTCACCCTCCAAAAATATAACACAAAAACTTCTCTAAAGTCTACAAAAACTTGTTGGAGTTTGAAAAAGGTAGTGCCACGCATTGTAATGTCTTTTACAATAGTATTGTTTTAAACAGCCTTGGGTGGGAAGATTGTTTTACATTGCTAAGTAGTGCGATGTTATGTTTTGTTGTTACTATACGCGGAAGTTCGATATAATTCCCGGAGTTAGGGTTAAGCGTCAAAGGTGGTTTTTAATTACAGAAGCCGCCGGTTCCCGGCTTCACTCGGTGTGTTTGCTGCCTGGAGCGAGGTGGAGCCACGGCACGGAGCAGGTAAGCCGCCATTACAACCAAGAACGGAGAAGAGACATCTTTTTTAATCACGTTAGCAGATTTTACCTAGTTCGAAGATAATCTAATATTTTTTAATGATCATACATCAACGACGAGTTGGTGTCATTCCAAAATTAGTATCAGATAAAGTAGAAAAAACATAGCATATTTGACAGTCACAAACACCGGCGCCATCTTTAAAAATTATCTCCGTTAAAGGACCAAACTGGGTGGAAAAAAGTAAGAAAATAATGTTGAAAACAACAAATTATTATTTTTTAGTAAATTTAAGAACTGTGAGAAATTATTTTTCCATGTGAACTTGTGACTAGTTATACTAAGATTTTACTCACTAAGTTTACTGCTTCTAACAAATTTACTAGAGCCATTTTTTTATTCTTGAAAATGTACTAGTTTTCCGTGACAATACGAGAATTTTTTAAAATAAAATATATAATATAGTGGTTGACCATGGATGGATGGATATAATATATAAATAATTGTTTTGTGAATGTACGACTTTCTCCCTATAATATTCTTGTAAAACTTACAAATAGAAATACTACAACGTTATTTTCTTAAATTTGGTACTTTACTAATAAATTAATTCAATCTAAAAAATTAACTTCTTTATTCTTAAACATCCCTTCTGCCTTAGGAAAAACATTAAGAAGATGACTAGGCTGAAGAATAAAGAGATCTCTAGACAGTTGTTTTTAATTTGTGGAAAGTAAGGTGAAAAACTGTTCATGTGTATACTTCTGCAGCAATACCGTTAACCTCCATGCTTTTTTTTCCCCCCCACATGAAAGCTTGAAAATCTGAATATTGTCCTGGAGAAGGCAATTTGGAATCTTGGGAATCACATGCGACAGATCTGTGGATTCCTTACTTCAGAATTGAAGATATTAATCAGCACACCGTTGAAGTCACTGAGCTGTGACTACCTCGGGTATGTACACTAATTTAAAATTTCTTGAAATAAGAAACTAGTGCACAAAAAAACTCTTGTGTGTTTGTTTTGCTCACCCAGCGTGCCTGCTTGCATTTCGTCAGTTTCCATAGCCTCACTCGTGCCCTCGGCGGTCACTGCTTGAACGCGGTAAAAGTATTTCCGTCCGTGGTCCACGTCTGTGTCACTGAAGCTCGGTACACCTGGGATTTCCCCTATTTTCTTCCAGGTGTTCCTTCCCACCTGCCGGCGCTCGATTATGTAGTTTGTCACTGGTGAGCCACCGTCGTCCTTTGGAGGGCGCCACTTAAACCGTATACATGAAGCTGAACTCTCTGTCACCTCTGGAGGACCCAGGGGTGAAGTGGGTTTATCTGAAACGATCAAAAAGAAAGTACTTAATATATCAGTGTGTGACATTTGAATATACAACCTCTGTCTTTAATTTTAGTTGTAAAAGTTGATCCGTGTTGCAGGCCACAAGCACAGTTGTAGTTTGAACAGGATGTTTGTTGAGCTCTGTTCTGTAAAATGTAAAACCCACAAAGACAGATTGAGATTTTTGCCTCATTATTAACTTGTTCAATGGAGAGTTGCATTCAGGAAATGGGTACACAAACCAGGTGCAGATGGGCTCAGTGAGATGTGACAATGTTTTTATATAGACAGAATAAAACGTTTACACATCTCTTTATATTTTCATCTTTTAGATGATGATGAATTTAATTTTTATGGTAGTGCAGAATCTGCTAAGTTGGTGCTACTGAGGAATGGGTTTACAGGATAATAAATACTTTTACTTTTAGTTCTGCAGTATTATTCATTTACTCACCAAGCACGGATAGAAATGAAATTGCCTCAGCAACACCGTGGTCATTCTTCAGCTTGATCTTGATCTCTCCTGTTTCCTTCCTCTGGCACCTGCCCAGGAGCAAGCGGCTGCAACTCAAAGATTTCTCTATCTTTGTGTTGCTGTCCTCCTGGAGCTCTTCCCCCTCTCTGTACCACTGAATTTTTATTGGTTCATGGCCAACAAAGTGCAGTCTGAAGATGGCATTGTGACCCACTTTAACTGTAACGGGCTGGGTGAAAGCACTGAGGTCTTCAGGATCGAACCTTGGCGGATCTAAATGAAAGTCAGTGTCATGAGACATTGCATAGCTTTTATTTAACAGCAAGAAGTTTTGTTATTCCGAGGAAGTAATTTTTTATATCCCAAACCTTTCACACTGATCGTAGCCTCGGTCTTACGGCCATCTGCTTCAAAGCGATATTTCCCTGAGTGTTCCTCCATGCACCTGATAATTGTTAATTTATGGATCGCACCATCCTGGGTAGTAATAAAATTGTCGTCTGGGGATATCTGGTAGAAGCGAAGGCAGATGGATGAGAATTCAGAGGTAAAAGCAACACCAAGTTAGTTAGTCATTCAAAACGGAAAGGGTGCATGCTTCAAGGACTTGTGTACAGCTGTATTGTGTCTCAAATAACCCCAATGTGTCCAGACATCTGCCAGATTTTTGGAGCAAAACAGAAGACTACAGCTGCACTGAACATGCTGTAGTGATTTTCTGTCACCCACATTAGCAGCAGATGCCACATCAAGAATACCGATAATTAACTGTTTTTTCCGCTTTTGGTGTATTGGTTCCGCAAGTGGACAGTTAAGACGAGAGAAAGAAGAAACACACCGATTGAAACTTTGATAGTGACAAATGTATGAGACAGTTAAGACGAGAGAAAGAAGAAACTGAAACTTTGATACCTTTATAATGTATACATAGGAATGACAAATGTATGACAAAACCACTGATAATGGGATTTAATACTCTATCATCACCAACACAGCCAGAAGACTGATGACTAACCTGTTGACTGTCTTTAAACCAGGCTCCGTCACAGTCGTCACTGCTGAGTTTACATGTCAGTTCAGCCTTTTCATTGATGATGGCGCTGACATCGATTAATCCCCATATGAACTGGACTCCTGGATCTAAGAAATAGCCATTAACTTTAGCCCCTGACTGTGGAGGATATAAATCATATCAACTGCTACAGTTTAATGCTTAAGTTATATATTTTATATTTTAAAACAGTTTGCTGTAAGTCACCTTTTATATATTTGAAGTTATTTGGTGAAGTATTGTATAGATTCAAAGTAGTTTGCTGGTATTCTGTCAGACCTTGTCACTTACCAGTCATATGGTCTTCTATCAATGGGCCCTGCTTTATCCGCCTTGTATGTGGAGCAGTGGCATCAACAGCCTCATCACAGTCACTGTGTTCTTTAAAACATTTTTCTTCAGGTTAGAGTTGGTCTAAATCTTTACAACATTTCTCTTATTAATGTTAAGCTTGATCACTGAGAGAGTTAACTGTTGGGGATTAAAATATAATTATATTTCATATCTTTTGTTGTGTCCTCTTACCATTGTCTCCCTCCTTCGGCTCTTGTCTTTGTTTTAATGGTGTCAGGTGCTTGACTTGGGGGCCAGAGTGTTCATTGTAGTCAGATGAAACTGACTCTCTGACAACGGTGGATCCAAGTGAATCTCAAATAGATTAAATGAAATTTTGCTAGTATTAAAGTATTGTAATGGATCTCAAAAAGGTCAAACTTTTTTTTTTTTTGACAAAGCTGCAGTTAAAGTTTCTTAGTATCAGTGACAATCCAAAGTTGTGCTTTTGTTACTCACCAGGTATTTGATGGAGTTGAACCTTCTTGTGGTCTGAGCCCAGTTTTGAGTCATTCTCTTCATTCTGACCTGTGGTAAACATTTCAACCGAGGAAGTGTGACAGTGAATATTTAAAGTTTAGATTTCCGTAGACTGGTGCTGGTCATTGAATTTGTACTTTTAATGGTAATATGCATGAGTTTGTTTGTGAAAGAATGTGTAGTGTGTGTGGAGGTATGGAGCAGCGTAGTTTTTTTTTTTTTTTGTGATACAGATATTGCCAAATGTTACTATATCCTATATTTAGCATTCAAGGGTAACTACAAAAGTACTACACAGGTGTATCCAAAAATATGAATATAAATCCCAGCAGTCTAATTAGTCATATTTGTTTCCACAGTAATCAACAATGAGAACAAACAGTACCCAGAGCTCTCAGTGTAATGTCTCACCATCTATTCTGTCTCTGTTGATCTTTCCTCTTGAGTTGTCATCAGATTCCGTCATGTCCTCATTATCATCAGAACATCTTATTTTGTCTGTCAGTGTACGTGACAAATATAACAGATATTTCCAAATAAAAGAGTCATCTTTGTGCATAAGTTTTGTCCTGAAGACGAATAGTAATAGTTTTAATAATACACTCTGATACACTGTTTCCTACTCACCTTGACTTTTCACGTTCAGTGTTGGAGATTCACTTTGCCGTGGATATAGATTGACATTACCTTCTATCTTGTCAAAGTCCACCCGACCTGTTGTTGTGCGTTTTGTTTTCTCCAGTTCATTGATTACGCCTGTGGCATCTTCCACACACCATGAACTACCTAAATTAGATGCCATTCCATCTTCACTTTGTCTGTTTGTTTTTACTTTCTCTTGGCTTCCTGTTTGCTCAGACCTTCCAGCAGCGTTTGCCGTTTCAGGATCTTCACGCTCTCCCCAGTCATTTCTAATCAGTCCTGTGACTGAAGCATTTCCACCATCCATTCCTTCAGTTGTAAATGTCTTTTCCCACTTGACTTGTCCTTCTTGGTGCCTCGCCTTTACCGCTTCGAGAATCCTCTCCATTTCCTTCTGACTTTTTATTTGTTGCTCTTTGGCAACCTTCTCAAGGTCTGTGTGCGCCCCACCTGCCACAGTGGTTCTCCGAGGTTTTTTCCTGGTAGCAGTTGTTGGGTCATCTTCGGCTACATGATAAAAAAATGTCATGAATTATAATTGTAAAAAATATTTCGTAATCATTCTGATCAAATGCTCATGATTTGTTTGGTATCAACGGTGTAACGAGGCATTAAGGGATTTTATCAGAATTTTTTTTTTTTTTTGCCCGTTTCACAAACTTTAGCATAAACATACAACAAAACAAGAATTGAGTAAAATAATACACAATTGCATGAATCGACCGAGCAGTGATCAGATGTTTCATAATTCAAAGAATAAATTGCACTAGTTTTGAGAATAAAATGAGGAGCTGATGAACACTTAACTTTTTATGTATTCTTTCAAGTGAAAGCATTTTTGAATGATAATAAATCGGTATTAGCACCAATACCTAATCTCAAGTGCTGTTTGTCTGACACCAGGAGGTGGTGATGAGTCATACACCGCTGCCCTGACAGCTTTGCTGCCTGCAGCGTAAGGCTCTTGAAGTGGTCATCTGGCCTAAAGAACTCAGGATTTAAGTACAGACTATTTACCTTCCACAACCAGCCAGGCACTGCAGGATGTGATGCCAGCCACAGCTGAGTAAATGCCCTTGTCCTGCTGCGTGCAGTCCTTGATCGTCAACCTGTGAATCAGTTTATGGTCGGATACCGTGATGCTATATTTTTCTCCATCCTCCAGAGCGCTGCCCTTGCCCATCCACGTGATGCTAGGTAGTGGGTGTGTCAGGACACACTCAAAGAGGGCGTCCTCTCTTTCTTGTACTGAAGTCTCTTGAATTTTGACAATAAAGTCCATCATTGAAACTAGAAAAAACAAGAACATTAAAATGTCCTTTCTTCAAAACTCCGATCTTAATGGTCTTTTCTTTTCCAATGGTCTCTTTCCACAAACTTACATTTAATCTCTTTGAGGAGGAGGTTAACCTCTTCAGCATCTTGACTCAGGCCTATGTTCAGACGACACAGCTTTTCCAAATCTAGCTGATTTATGCCCCGCAAACCTTCTTGGATCAGGCTCCTTATACTGAAATCCTTTGTTCTGTCATTGCTTTTCCAACTGAGCTTCTCTGTATCATCGTAGGGAACTTGACCCTCCTGCCAGGTACACAGGATGATTACAGACAAAATAACACGTACCTTCAACGATTTAACAAAAGCAGAACAAAATGCACACACTGTGACTAGACTACTTAATAATGTTTGCATTTTTGTTTAGAGGGCTGAAACGGTGTGGGGGAGTGCAGGGGTCTCATGGGAGCGCTGCTCACTCTGTCAGACTTTGAGAAGCTCTTGTGTACAATCAATAATGCCCAGGATATTGCTGACCTTTGCTGAACAGTGTTTGTGGACAAATGTCCTTCAACAAACATCTGTGTACATAAGAAAAGAGTATTCATCCTTTCTATCACCCCCCCATCCTGAGCAATCTCATTGTTAGAGAATGTTATCGAATAATTAAAAGTGGTTTGAAGAAACGTCATGTTTCAGTTTTTATTGTGGATTAACAAGTTTTGATTTGTCAAATCTTGTTTCAGTATTTTATACACCAAATAAATGAGTCGTACTCCACATACTATGACAACAAAACAATGCATTTGCTTTTCAGTCATTATGATTTGGTTGATGATAACGAAGGTGTCGTACCGTAGACATATTTTGCATCCTCTCCTTTTTCTTCTCTTCCATTTTCTTGAGAATCAAATTCAGATCACCAAACCCGTTTGTGCTACCTGAGTTTGACAGGAATGAGTTTGTACTTCAGGATTAAATTAAATTAAACTTGAAAACCTATGTTCAGGTTGAAAGAATTGTTCTGCATTAGTTCCTCACCCCCAGTCACAGTTAATGTGGCCGTACAGACGGCTTTTCCGTATTTGTTTGCAGCAAAGCATTTGTAGGTGTCCTCGTCAGCAGAAGACACGTGGTGAATCTTCAAAAAAATAAAAATAAAATAAAATTATATAGCGTCAGCAGAAGACACGTGGTGAATCTTGGTGAAGTAAATAAATAAAATAAAATTATATATAAATTACAGACCAGTTTAAGAAATGTGTAACAAAGCACATCTCCTGCATTTACTGACCTCTAGTGTCCATTCTCCAGATGATGCATCATATTTAGTCTTGAACCTGTCGTTGTCCAATGGGGTTCCTTTAAGTCTCCTCCAAGTCACCTCAGGTGTTGGATCTCCTTTTACCACTGCCTTGAAAACAGCTACTTTTCCTGATTGATTAATTTCAGAAATGTATCCATAATTCAGTAATATGTTCACTTGCTGCAGCCTTTAGGTGTCATTTACAGACAGATGCCAGTCTTGTTGCTTTCTTAATCAAAACCAACTCACCTTCTTGCACAGCTAATGACACTGGTTTGCGCACGATGTCTGGAGTGCTGTTTCCCTCTGGTATGTTGGTGTCGTACTGTGTAATCACCACTCCGGCGGTCTTAGATTTCTTACGGATGACAACTGAACGAGTACGGTAAACATAAGTATTTGCGTCAATCAGGTTACTGTTCAACGGCATTAAATAATTGTGAATATTTTTATATTATTGTTATGTTAAAAAGACAAAAAAAAACTAATTTAAGATACTAAGTTCCTTGTCTGCTACTTCAGGAGTTCCAGTAATTTACACAGGTTTCCATAATACAGTAGTTTGGTGTAAAATCTGATGATAATTGTTAATTTTTTTAGGCTATAGAAAAACTGTAAAATCTGATGATAATTGTTAATTTCTTTAGGCTGTAGAAAAACCTGATTCAGTAAAATCAGCAGTTCAAGAAATATTTATTGTCATAAATATCAGATGTTCATAATGATAATCTTAGAATTTATTGACTGGGCTATCTCAAAATCCCTGTTAAGTTAGAAACATATCATAAAAATGATCATTTTCATTTAACTCCACAGCCTAAACTGGTTTAACTTTGATGCCAATGTCAGTCAAAGTGAAACTACACGCAGCCATTGATCTGGATCTCTTACTGAACACTCTGCTGGGCATGAAATTTCTGTCATTTTCCATCTATATAAACTTTGCTGTCAGGCATTTTGTTATCAGTCTCTCCTCACTCAAAAAAGATCAAACGGGGAAAAAAAGATGATTAATGTAACGATGACAGAATGGATGAAACGCCGTTCTGTCAGATGTTTAACTAAGAGTGACTGATCTGAAAGGTAGTGAACTGATAACTGAGGCTGACAGCGTAAAGCCATGATGGCTTTTATGCATTCAATATTACACAATGTATTATTCAATATTTACTCCATTATTCACATAATGACCCATGCAGGGCAGTCATGCAGCCAGACCTGAAAGCAGTGTTTTTTTTTTAGATAAAAACCTAATCTCTCTCTTTACCTGTCTTGTTGCCAGAAACCTCATTAAAATGTTGAATATATCGATGGACAATGGAGAAACCTGTTTAAAAAAAAAAGAAAAGAAAAAAAAACTCAATTAGATGAAGTCTCGATTCACATAAAAAATGTTCTATTTAAGACATTGTTTTTACTGAAAAATATATTTGATGCAAGTTCAATGTAAGATTGATCCTTTTTAATACTAAAAAGCAAATTATTCCCACAGTAGTCAGAAAGCTTTTTTTTTTACATTACTAATGGAAGACAAAAGATTATTTAACATGATCTGTTATTTAATGTGCATTAGAGTATACATTGAAAAAATTGAATTATTCAGACAATGCAGTTTTAAAAATTTAAAAGAAATCCTAATGTAAAATAACATAATAATACATGGCACTAGATCTACTTTAATATAAAATTATTGTCATTGTGCATGCATGTATGGTTATTTATTAAACAAATAACCAGTTTAATACTACTTTAATACAGTTTAATTCTTAATAACCTTGACTAATTAAGCCGACATTTCAACTACAAATTCCATAAAAATACCTGAGGTCTTTGTTCGTTTCCACATTTTGGCAGCTGTCCTCAGAGTGGCCTGCCGATGGAAAATGGATGAATTCTTAGTATCATTGACAACAACAGTTCTGGTTCTGGTTTCATGTCTGTCTCCTGCCCTTGTCTTGTAGGCACCACTTCCACGAGAATAGACACAATAAAGTGTTTTACACATCACTGAGATGAAAGTCACTGTAAACACTATGAAACGGGCCTCGCCAGTTGCCTTCAGCTATGTCTGACCATGACAAATATGTTTGTCATTTGTGGCAATACTCGTATTAAACTGCCAGACGTTCTGCATCTGTTGGCGTCCGTCCGTTTTTACCTACGCAGCGAGGTCAACAGGTCATCTCTGTTACATTTCTTGAGATGTGAGGGGAGGTGTTCCTGAAGGCATCATCTCTAGTGGGTCCTGTGTGGGTGTGTTGGATACACAGATATAGATGCCGTTTTGCAGATGTAGCGTTTTATCATGGGTTGAAGTTAATGCTACTACGAGATTCCGACGGAAGGAATCCGACGTTTACTCTTGTCACTGTTTGATTGCGATCATGAATTTCATGGGTTGAAGTTAATGCTACTACGAGATGAAAAAAAACAAAACGGGATAAAACATGGACAAAGAATCTGACGTTTCCTTTTGTCACGGCTTTTATGCGAGCATGAATTTCTAAGTTTCGATAACTTAGAAAGTGAACATTTTTTACATCGTAATTTGTCTGTAAGTAATTAATCGCAATTAGTGTGTAATATTCCCAGTCCTATAACATATGCATGGTTTTGTTAAGCTGTTGTGTTAAGTCTTGTGTTGATAGATAATTATATGTCTTACTTTCACTCAATAATAGTCACGTTTGAGGCCAAGTCATTAATTGTAAATGACTCTATATTTGACAGGTATTGGACTCACGAGCTACAGTTACCTCTGATCATGAGTTGATGTTAATACGAGGTCCTGGCTGCTGTGACTGTTACTGCTTTACACTCTACAACACCAGATACCTGAGGATCAGGGTTAGATACTGTGTCACTAAAGTATTATATACAGCACATGTCCATGTAGAGTATTTAAAACAGCGTAAACTCTAAAGTATCAGATGAGCTTCAAACATTTGGACAAAAACAGAAAATGTTCTTTTGTACTTCTTTACAATAGAGAACTTTTTTTTTTTTTTAATTAGCCCTGACCCAGAGTCAGGCTGTATCCTCACACAACACAAACAAACAGGAAGTGAGGTTTACCTGTCCTTACACCTGCTGTGCCTGTGGAATTGGCCTTGAGGTTTTACCACAATCTCGTTCCTTCCTGAGCTTTACTGGACACTAAATCCTGTGGTGGAACACGTTTTCTTTTGCTGCCTGCAAGGTTGTGCCTCAGCAGTGATCTCTCAAGGACAGGGCACTTCTTTTTTACCCGGACGGATGCTCGTAGCGGGTGGGTTGTTATTAAGGGGTGTGGTGTAGGGGCAGAAAAAGTACATGGCCAGAAGGAAAGGGAAGGGCTACCGATGACAAGTTTAGGCTGAAGTTGATCTGTCACTGCAGTAATTACTGATGACAGTGTGCTCATCTTACACAGAGCAGTTGTTGACAAGGAGGGGATTGGCAAGTTCTTTCTGGCCGCTGTGATTCCCATTGGTGATACCGCAGCTACCAGGCGCGTATTTGTCAGAGGACAGTTTTCACAGTAGTATATTTACACACAAACAAATCAGGTGCTAATTATGAAAAATGAAAAAGATGCAGTTGATTTGGATCAAAATTCAGCAGCTGTATATCACCCTACTGGTAGAAAAGAATATTCAATATGTTTGTTTGTTTTTTTCATTTGGAGGGCAGTGTCCAAAGCCTCTTGTTAAAGGTTTATCGTTTACTCCGACTGTCAAAGTTAATGCTTTACTTAATATGTGAAATTAATCACATTAAGAACCGACACTCACTGCATGTGTCATAACTCCATTGACCATCCATTTATCATTGCTGTGATGCCCAGTAGAAACACGTGTTTTTTTCACCAAAGCTCCGTGAGCTTCAAATCCCATCACAACAACGGGCACGGCTGTGATGCCCAGTAGAAACACGTGTTCTCATTTACACCTACTATAGGAAAGAGGTTTCATTTCACTCCGTGAGCTTCAAATCTCATCACAACAACGGGCACACGGTTGCGGAGGCTTCAACTTCAGGTCAGACGTGGTGTTTGAATCAGACCAGCCTCACTCAGTAACTAACCCTACAGCTGACAGGCTGATTGACACAATTGCCAACTGGATTTTGAGCAACGTTGGACTGAGTAATATTGTTGAGGACAACAAGTTCATTGCCAACTGGATTTTGAGCAACGTTGAACTGAGTAATATTGTTGAGGACAACAGTTTCACCAAAGTTTTGAAGGCAAATCTTTAAACTCTGGTGACTAAAAATTCACTAACTCTACGAAGCAAAACATTTTGTATAACTTTCTTGACATTTTTACATATGAATAATTCCATCATTTGTATTGATCACATTTATCTACTTATTTGTCGTTCTGTTCCAGTGATATAGAGAATTAGAAGATTTTCTTTTCACGTTTAGGAATGTGGATTTATATAGATTAATCATGAATAATTCACAGCTACATTTTAATTATTTGACAGCCCCAGTAATTACACTACAGTCTATTACATAATTAAGGTTGTGGCATTTGTTGTGTAAGTCTTTCCTTGTCATTGCTGGTTAATGCGTCTGACATTGGAAAGACAAGTTTGGATGTAGGACAGGACATGTAGACGCCTCAAGGTCAAGTCCAGCCGTGTCCACAGAAGTCATCACGCAGACATTCAAAGAATGTATATTTTCTTCCATAAAAACATTTATGAATCATAAGAAAACAAAAACGAAAAGGCCAACAGGTGTCGCCAGAACAGTTGGGGACATCAATGAGGGACCTTACCACAATAGACCAACACTGTTTTTGCAGTTGTTGGTCCAATTTACAAATGGGGAGGGGGCACTAAATTTAATTCCTGTTGTGTTCGCTCCATGGAAACGTCTGTTTTTCGGCCACACCTATATCAATATTCTAGGAATATTAAAGTATAATATTTGTACTCTTTTTCAGTAACTGAACACATTAGTAAAATGTTAAATGCTTTGACCTGGGGTTGACTTCATTAACTCCAGACTACTGGCTGTCATGTGACTGTAAAACTTCTGCCTCATAGAAGAGCCACAGAATGGAAACATCCCTGCAGGTGGAATAATATTGACTTCTTTCCAACACGTCAGTCTCAACTGGACAAGCAAAGCATCGACTAACACGAGACACGCGGGGTGCCAATGTCCTGTAATGCTTGTCCTTCCCCATGCAGTGCCTCTAATACATCTGAATAAGCTCTTGAGCAGACCTGAGCCTGTATAAACCAGCCGCAGTAGGAATTAAAGCCCTTCGACCCACCCTCAATATATTGATGAAATGCCACGCTGCATAGCTTTCATTCCAGGCACAGGGAAACACAGAAGATTGCCGCCGAGGTGCTAACTAGACAGCCTGGCTTTCTAGTGTTGGTTGCTATTTTGAGGGACACTTCAGTCCTGTATCGGCTGAAACTCTGACAGTCACTTTTCAGCGAGGGGTGGAGATGCTTCTAATTGTTTTGTTTTCTTGGCTTCGATTTTTTTTTTTACTTTCACTAAATATTTTGTTTGCTATTAAGTTAGGATGTTTAGGAGTTTATTCCATCCAATTTTAGTACAAGTTAGCAAGAAGTATTGCTATAATAAGTGTTGTATTGGAATTAAAAACAACAACAAAATCCTTCTTTAAAAGAGTTCAAAAAGGATAATTTATGTACTGCATTAATTGTGCTATTAACACTGGCGTCTGAACATTTCCCAGATATAGACTTCCTTGACCCCCTTTAAAAGGAAACCAGGATCAAATCTAAAGCCTTGGAGCCTGAAGCCACTGATTAACCACTAATTTAAAAAAGAAAAGCTTCATATAATGGCTTCTGAGTTATTGCCTAAGGTAAAGTCATTGACTAATTTAGGACCTAATTACTGTGGGTTGGATATCTTGGTCAGTAGTTGTGCATTACAGGTGAATAATATATCTGGTCCAGTAACAATGTGGCTGCGCAGGAAGGCTCCTGTTCGTAACTTCTCCCTCTGAATAGGAACTTTCTTCTTTTTTGTGTGTGTATATGTGGTTTGAGTGGTGACTGAACGTTAGCCATTCGAGCTACGGTATTTAGCATGTAGCTGAGCTCAAGCTTCACTGAGCTAACATCACCTTAGGACATTTATACTACAGTCTTACTCGAAAGCAAAGTGTCACCTTAGGACATTTATACTACAGTCCTAGCTTCCTCGAAAGCCATTTATACTACAGTCTTACTCGAAAGCGTTAAGGGTTAAAGGGTTAAGCACATTTTTGCACACTCTATTTATTGACTCTATGAATTGGCAAAGTAGTATAAATGTTAAGCTTGTTTTAACCCAATTCAATTGACTCTATGAATTGGCAAAGTAGTACAAACAGTCATCTTGTTTTAACTCACTCACTTTATTCCACAAAGGAACTCTCTAAAGTAAAATATACCAAGTAATCAGAATATGCTTATTTACCGTGCAAAGAAAAATATTTATTTCTATTCCTCTTGTTGTTTTTAATTAAATAAGAGCTCAAGGGTTGATATTAAAACATCACAAAATATATTTTATAAAATTTAA